CAAGAAGGGCGCGGCTAGTGGTCGCCACGGACTACACGCAACCAGGCTTGCTGTTCTACGAAATCTCAGCGTTGAGGATATGGGTAGCTTTTTGGACATCGCCACCGGAAAGCTGAAGGGTGTCAAGGTCGTCGGCGCATCCAAGAAGATATTCAACGAGCCCTTGCTCCCTGTTCGAAAACAAATGGGTTTCCTCAACATGATTTCCTCCGTCATCTCTGAGCTTGGAAACAACGCAACGCCCTATGTCGAAACCCTCCTCAATGCTGTTCTTTACTGTCTTGTTTTCGCCTGTCGACAACTCAGCGGACATGGCGCGGATCCGGAAAACCCCCCTGACGAGGAGGAGGAGGAAAAGGCCAGCACACATTCTCTGCTCAGAGTGATCCGTTCGACTGGCTTGAAATGTCTGAATGCGCTCTTCCAAAACGCTCAATCTTTCCAGTGGGCGCCGTATCATGAGATCATCATTGAAGAAGTTGTTGTTCCAAGACTTGACAATCTACCTGTCGAGACGACTCAAGGAGTGTCGGGGATGCTGCAGCTCTTCTCGACCTGGTCAGTTCTTCCTCGTGTTGCTCTCTTCCTCGCGCCACACGAAAAGGTTCTTCCAGATGGAGTTCTTCCCAAGGTCATTGAGACCCTCTCAACCAAGGGCAAAGACGAGGTCAAGATTCACGTGCTAGCCATCATTCGCAACCTGGTGAAGCTTGCCAACGCGCCAGCTCAAGAGTCAGAGTACAACGAGGTTATCAAGGCAGAGCTCCTTGACACGAATGCCGCAGCGATCCTAGCCCAGATCACAAAGGCTCTGGACATGTCCGGCCTCAGCAATGACCTGTTGGAAGCTTCTGTGGAGACCATCTTGTCTTTGGCACCGGTTGTTCAGGATCCCCGAGACATTCAGTCTGTGATCAAGATTTCCATCTTCCTCTTGAACCAGCCCCCACGACGAGTCAGTCCCAAGCTCAAGGGCAGAATCCTTCTCATTGTCGAACAATACGTCACACGTTCCAATGCCGTTGAGGACCGATCACTCCTTGACGACGTGTACGACACTGTTTCATCCCTCTTCAGCTATTTCAAGGATCAAGAGAACCGACAGTCCCTGTCAAGGGCGTTGCTGGCTCTCGCTGGAAAAGACAATGATCTGGTGGAAGTTGCTGGCCTTTGCGAAGCCCTCAATTCGTTCAAAGAGGGTCGGATCGAGGAACCAGATTACGACAAGCGTCTGGCCGCCTTCAGTGCCATTTCAGGTGACCGAGAGGTTCCTCTCACTCCGAAGCAGTGGCTTCCTCTGCTTCACAACCTGATTTTCCATATCCGAGACGACGAAGAGTTTGGAATTCTCTCATCAAACTCGGCCGATGGCCTTCGACGATTCATCCGAGATGTGGCTGCTTGCACAGTTGATGCTTCAAAGGAGAAGTTCAGCACTTACCTACGAGACGTCATCCTCCCTGCTCTCTATGTCGGAGCCCGTGAACCCTCCGACACCGCTCGACGAGAGTATCTCCGAGTCATGGGACACCTCATCATGACAATGCCCGAGTGGGAGCCCATTGCTGACCTCAGCGCCTTGCTGAATGACAGGACAGAGGAGTCTGCAGAGCCAACCTTCTTCTTCAACATTTTGAGTCCCGCGACCGCGAGGCAGTTGGAGGCTCTTCACATTCTGGAGGCTGCCAACAACCAGAAGGAGATGGGTAGCCAGAATCTTGCTCAGTTCTTCATCCCACTTCTGGAGCATTTCATCTTCGGTCGTACTGATGGGAGCGATGACCATGGACTCGGTGCACAGGCGACCAATACTATTGGTAACCTGGCAAAGTCTCTGCACTGGAAGCATTACCGTACTACCTTCCAGAGGTACATCGGCTACGTTGAGTCAAAGCCCGATCTTCAGAAGCAGACAATCCGCCTCCTGGGCAAGTTTTCTGATGCCCTCATTGCTGCATCTGAAGAGGTTCCAGAGGAACGCATGGAAGTGGACCAAGTCGATGCCTCGTCATCCACCAGCACAAGGCTTCCTCTCACGATTCCAAAGTCAGAGAAGCTGCATGCCGAGGTGGAAAACACATTCCTGCCTACGCTCATCAAGCATCTTCATCTGAAGGATGAGTCGGAGGTCAGTTACCGTGTCCCTGTTGGTGTGGTCATTATCAGGCTCCTGAAACTCTTACCTGCGGAGCAAATGGACCAGAAGTTGGCAGGTGTCTTGACAGATATCAGCCACATTCTTCGAAGTAAATCTGTGGAGGCTCGAGACATGGCTCGAGATACCCTTGTCAAGATCGCTGTCAACCTTGGCCCCTCGTTCTTTGGCTTCATTCTCAGGGAACTTCGAGGCGCTCTCACCAGAGGATATCAGCTTCATGTGCTCTCGTACACGATGCACTCGATCTTGGTTGCAGTCATCCCTGGCTACTCTCCTGGTGATTTGGACTACTGCCTTCCAACCATCGTGATGGTTATCATGGACGACATTTTCGGCGTGATCGGACAGGAGAAGGATGCCGAAGGATACACCAGCCAGACAAAGGAGATCAAGAGCAGCAAGAGCCAGGACTCGATGGAGCTGATTGCCAAGAATGCGTCCATCAGCAATCTCATTGATCTCGTGAGGCCTCTGCGGGCCCTCCTGATGCAAAAGGTTGACCTCAAGATGATTCGCAAGATTGATGCTCTCATGACGCGTATTACTGCCGGCCTCCTTCAAAACCCAGCTGCCGAAAGCCGTGACACTCTCATCTTCTGCTACGAGGTCATTCAAGACGTCTACAACTCACAGAAGCCCGAAGTTGAAGAGAAGATCGACCCGAGGGTCAAGAAGTACTTGGTCCAGAAGGGTGCCAAGAAGAGCGGCGAGCGAGGTAGGACAACCAAAAACACCTACAAGCTCATTCGCTTCGCCGTCGATATTCTTCGGGCCATCTTGAAGAAGCACGACAGCTTGAGAAATGCTGCCAACATCTCTGGCTTTGTCCCTATTCTGGGTGATGCCTTTGTGGGCGGAGAGGATGAGGTGAAGATCTCAGCCTTTAGACTATTGGCTGTCATCGTCAAGGTGCCGTTCCCTGATGACCAGGCCGATAAGCTCTACAAGGTTGCCGTCAAGGAAGCAACAAAAAGCATCTCGATGGCGGTCTCCACCACGACTGATCTGTCTCAAGCAGCGCTCAAGATGCTGGCCGTTGTCCTTCGAGACCGTCGAGATGTACCAGTCAAGGACGCGGCAATCGACATGCTGCTTGCCAAACTGAAGGATGATCTGACCGAGCCCCTGTATCGTCACGTCACGTTCAACTTTTTGCGATCGGTTCTGGACCGACATATTGAAACCGCGGCCATCTACGACACGATGGACTATGTCGGAACAGTCATGATCACCAACGACGACAAGGATACTCGTGATCTGGCAAGAGGCGCCTTCTTCCAGTTCATTCGAGAATACCCCCAGAAGAAGGCCCGTTGGGCCAAGCAGCTAAACTTTATCGTCGCCAATCTCAAGTACGACCGAGAAGGTGGTCGTTTGTCTGTCATGGAGATTGTCCACCTGTTGCTCATGAAGTCTTCTGATGACTTCGTCCAAGAAGTTGCCGCCACTTGCTTCCTCCCGCTCTTCTTTGTCCTTGCCAACGACGACAGCGAGAAGTGTCGACTTGCAGCGGGTGAGCTGCTAAAGGAGATCTTCCGCAAGGCTGACAAGGAGAGGACGCAGACCTTCTTGGGTCTGTTGCGTTCGTGGCTCGACAAGGATGGGAATGAGGCAGTTATCAAGCTTGCCCTTCAAGTCTTTGGCTACTACCTTGAAGCCCATGAAAACGCCTCGAAGAACAAGAAGGACTTCAAGCTTGTCATTTCCAAGGTCAACGGCGTTATTGAAGCTGAGGATATCCGTGAGGTTGACGGAGAGCTTCTGGAGGCTGCGCTTGGAGTTGTCCGAGCCTCTATGACCGTGTTCCCCGACAAGATTCTGGCAAGCAATAGTGAGGACATGTGGGCGAACACCGCCAAGTGTCTCTCTCATCCTGACACACCTGTCAAGGTGGCGTCCGTTGGGCTGGTCAGCTCCTTCTTGGCTGATTTCGCACAGAAGGCTGGCAGCACCCCTATTGGCGAGTCAGTGGAAGGCAGCTATGGACTTAAACTTGATCTAGCAAAGGTAAAGGACCTTGTCAGGCAAGCACTTGGTGTTGTGGCGACTCGTGATGTGGATGAGAAACTGGGAGCAGAGGCTGTTCAGGTTCTCGTTTTCCTGGCTCCTCGCCTGCCCGTGCGACCTCCAGTTGAAGAAGAGGAAGAAAGTGAAAGTGAGGAACAGGTAGAGGAGCAGGAGGACGCTGATGAAGTTGAGGAGAAGCAACTAAAGACGGATCTCCAGCATCTGTTCTGGAAGCTTTCTCATATCATCCGAAGGGAGATTCCTCCCAGAGCCGTTGCCATCACGCCCAAGGTTGCTGCCATGGAGGTTCTTGAGACTGTTTGCCGCAGGTCTCCTTTAGATCGCCTGCAGCCATCTCTCAAGACCATTCTGGTGCCCCTACACAACCTCACCGACCCGTCGATTGCGCCGCCATTCTCCAACGACGAGCTCTTCAAGACAAAGCACGAAGGCCTAAAGACCAGAGCGCAGATTCTCATGGATGCCCTGCAGAAGAAGTTTGGAACGGCCGAGTACACGAAGCAGCTGCTGGCGATCAGGGAGGAAGTAAGGGCCAAGAGAGAGCAACGGTCGAGCAAGAGGAAGATCGAGGCGCTCGCACACCCCGAGAAGTATGGACGGGACAAGCGGAAGAAGTTTGAGAAGAACAGGGAGCGGAAGAAGACGCGATCCAAGGAGCAAAAGGTGATGAGGCAGTCGTACAAGGGGTGGTAAAGAAGCTGTGGTCGAGCATCAAGTGGCGTTTTGGGAGTTTTCGGCATTAGATAGCACCTATTTCAAGGCGTTTGCTTGTGGATATATAAAAGTTCACTGTAGATGAGATTGGGAAAATATACAACGCCATCAAGGCGAATCTTTATCAATATGTTTTGTCTATGAGAAGGGTATCCTACCAACGCCACCCAATGCCCTCTACTCTATCATACAACATGGTGCTCTTTTATCTTTATTCGTACATTTTGAAATCCATATGGCGATTTATGAAGTCTCGGTCTTTCCAGTTCCCTCTTCAGACTGAGCAAGAGATTCCTCTGGCCAGAACTCGATATCGCCGTCCTCGCCCAAGCTTCCCCTCTTGACGAGCTGTCCCTTTTCCCGCATGAGATCCTCGACGGTTATCTTGCGGTCGCCAAAGATATTCAAATGATCGCTGATGACGTGACGGTTTCGGCATCCGGGGCAGGTAATAAGCGTAGAGCCGTAGTGGTAGCCCTGCTTAGAGACGTTGTGGTGGGAGCGATGGCCGCAAGGCACGCAGGTGAACGACAGCTGATAGTACGATGGCTTAATTTCTGGTCGCTCGCCCTCGCTCGTGGGCTCCTCTCCGGGTTGTGACTGCTCGCGATTGGGCTGCGCGTACTTTTGCGTCGGCGGGCGGGGGATCGAATGCGCCGCGCGGGAGGCGATCAAGGGTTGGAAAACTGCGGCGGGGCGAGCGCGGATGATGCGCTGGGGTTGCGAGCGGAGCTGGCGCAGGATCGAGGAAACGATTGGTGTTGAGCGAGAGGCCATTTTTTTCGTCGTGAGGGTGAGGGTGCAAGGTGGGGTTTTTTTTTTGGTGGATGTAAGTGGTGATGGTCAAGTTGGAGTTGAGGGATCGAGAAATGTTTTAACATCCGGGGTTGCTTGCCGCGAGACGTCATTCGTGGGTCCGGGTACTTAGTAAGGTTCATCATGGAATCTTGACGAATCACGGCAGTTGGCGCACTTACACGGTCAACTTGAACATTTTGACTGCACTCGAGTCACATATAGACAGACGAGGCCGATAAATGTCTGGAAATATGGATGAAAAAATAAGTAGAGGCGTTGATTCCAATACTATCCTCCTGAATTATGTGCCTGCCGTGGATATCATCAAGCCCACATGGCAGGACTCGGCCCATGTGTGGACTTGCTTTGAATAAACGGTTGCTACCAAGTTAAGCAATTACAAGTACTGGGAGGAAGGACGCTCTTTCCTCGTAATGCTTCTCTTAAAACCATCACTTTCGAAGTCCCAGAGAATTTGTGATCCCTTCCCTTCAACATCTTCAACTCCCAACCTTTGCAGAAATTCTACCATCATATCTTCCTATTGACTAGTATCTGATTATCACCCCTTCGCTCCTCTATAGAAAACTCCTATAATTATCATGATGAAGCTTATTCCTACTCTTACCTCCTTGGCCCTCTTCCTCTTTGCCACCCTTGTTTCCGCAAACGATGACCTCGTCCTTGCCATCAACGCAATCAACCAAGCCCGTCAAGCCAAAGGCATCAACCCTCTAGGATAGAGCCCGGATCTCGCAGCCTACGCACAGTATTGGGCAAACCAGATGGGAGCCGGAGCGCAACCCTTCAGTCACGCACCTCCTGAGCTCCGCCCCTTGCAAGGTGAAAATATCTTTCAGCAGACAGCCACCCAGTGCGATGCCGTCCACGACACGCCTCTTCAGAATGCCGTCAAGGCTTGGCTTTCGCAAGAGAGGCTTTACACGGGACAGCCCATCAGCGATGGAAAGGAGCCTTGGCTTCATTGGTGTAAGTGGTCATTCGCTTTGACAAATTGTGTTTGAAGCTAACAACCACAGCCCAGTGCATGTGGTCATCAACAACTCACATCGCTTGCGCGAGAGCATACAGCGTGTCTGAACCATGCAGAGTATTCGACGTTTGCCGTTTCTACCCAGAAGGAAATATGTGAGTCTACCCTGTCGACGAGGTGTCACCACTGACGACCGCAAGAATTGGGCAGACACCGTTCGGAGCAGCGACTAGCGATTAGTCGTGGGCCCCCGGAAACTAGTTGGGTCGAGATGTAATACACGAATGTGTTGCGCAACGGTTAAATCTCAACGTGTGGATCGCTGTAACGGTTTTTGGGAAGTCAGGGGTTCATTCATGTACATACTTCGTAACTGTCAGTTGGATTATCATCAAGCATGCACGGGGTTATCAGTAACCTATCAAGAGTAGGAAGGAATTACGCATGGAAATTAAAATGGAATAATATTACAGATCAAGCCAGTATCAACGATTCATCCCAACTTCATAGTTGCCAAGAGAAAACAAGGCTTCGAGGTGAAGGTCTAGGGTAGGCTATCAACCACGCTTACATAATACTATACCCAGGTGGTCAGTGCTTTCCAAGGGAAACGCCGAATTTGTGGCAGACAGTGAGCGACGCGATTGAGAAAAAGGCCCCCAGTTCGCGACTCCATCAAGCATCGAGCGTTGAAGCCATCACAACAGACACGCCAAAGTCACCACGTCCCCTCCCATTCCACGACTGTGAACTTTGCATCACTTTCGCACAGGCTCCGGCACCTTGGTGGTCCTTTTCGCGTTCCGGCGCACTGGAGCAAAAGCGAGAGACAAGTCCTCGCGCGTCGGCATAGCTCCCTTTACTGGTCCAGCATAGGATGACCCTCGAGGTTTCCTAACGCACACAATGGAACGATCAAAGCCTCAGGCGTTCTTGTCGAGCTACGCGCCGCGATTGCGCGGCTACAACAACTCCCTCCTCACCCCCGTACTGCCGAGCGCGCCCTCTGGCCCTGTCTCAAGAACGACCAAGCGAGGCACTACCATCATCAACTACGCCGAAGATGGGTACGACGACCTGGATGAGGATAGCGACGACACCCGAAGACGACCCACCGGCTTGAGAAGCTTGCGCAAGGAGGACTCGGTCAGCAGGCAAGACCTCGCCGAGAAGGCAGGCAAGGACACCAAGCAGCCCGTCGACGTCCAGGGCATTTGGCGCGATTGGATGGCCAAGCATCGTCTGGCTCGGAGTGATCAGCAGAATGCGGTGCAGGCTACATTGCCGCTCACACTGATTCCGATCCGGATCGACCTGGATGTTCCGGCCTTCGTCCCCCCGCCTCCATTTCCAACACCGAACCCCAACACGGTCGACATCTCCCTCCCTCAGTATCGACAGCAGGAGATGACGGTGCCCTACAAGCTGCGAGATATTTTCTGCTGGAATCTCCACGAGACACTGATCTCGACCGACCAGTTTGCTCAAACTCTGGTGCAGGATCTCGACCTTCCTCACAGGCAAAACGCCATCGCCGAGATCAGCAAACAGATTCGAACACAGCTCGAGGAGTATGCGGGTGTTGCCCTCCACCCGCTGTTCCACGCGGAGCAGCCGGCCCCTTCTCTTCCGCAACCGACAGCCAGTGGATTGACTCCAAGACCAAGCTTCGCTCTCAAGTCTCGGGACGATTCTCCCGCTTCTGCGATCCGAGGCACCCCTCGACCAGACACACCTGCGCAGACAGGAGGCGCACCCACTCCATCTCAGACACAGGCCCCAGACGTGACAGCTGAGGCGACTCCCATTCTCCCCGATTCTGATGACTACAACCCTGACGATACATATCGATGCATCATCAACTTGAACCTTAATCTGGCTTCAATGTTGTACACAGACAAGTTTGAATGGTCTCTGCTGCACCCACCAGGCACTGCTGAGGCGTTTGCCAAGGTGACGTGCGCTGACCTAGGACTTACCGGAGAGTGGATTCCAGCCATGACACATGCTATCTATGAGGCTGTTCTGCGACTAAAGAAGGAGGCCTGCGAGGCGGGCGGACTTGTGGCCGGATGGGGTGGACTACAGCAAGAACTGCCAAATGATGCGGCCCACGGCGTGGAGGCTGGTTGGAGATATGATCCCGACCACCTAGGAGACGACTGGGAACCCAAGGTAGAGTTCCTGAGCAATGAAGAGATTGAGAAGCGAGAGGGCGACCGAGAGCGTCAAGTCCGTCGGTTACGTCGGGAGACGGCACGGTTTAGCTCTACGACAGGCATGTTGGGCGGCACGCCGTTTGGCGCCCCGATGGAGGTTGAGGAGGAGCGGATGGGACGAGGTGAGCGGTCCAAGAAGAAGCGGAGATTCCGAAGTCTGAGTCCGCTGGGCCGAGGAGGGACACCAGGAGGGCGAGGAACTCCAGACGTGGGAGGATATGGAGGCGGCGGAGCTCTGACAGACCAAGAGAGACTCCAGTGGAGATGCTGCCATTGCCAGATATGGGGCACCAGCGTCTGGGCAGTGCGAGACGGCCCTGCAGGCCCAAGGGTAGGTGCAGCTCCTCAAGGATTTGTTGACTTGTTACTGACGGTTTCTAGACCCTGTGTGCCAACTGTGGATATCTCTATGAGCGAGATCAGAGGCTTCCTCGCCAGTGCAAGAATCTTCATATCCAAGCCCCTCGTATTGTTTAGGAACCTACAGATGGAAAGCAGCAAGAAAGAAGAGCAGCCCCTGAAGCTCGGGCGAGTGAAAGTTCATGGTCGCCAAGCAAGAGTAACAGACAGCTTAGCCGAAGCCGAACGCCGTCTATTACTCACCTACGCTGGCAACCGGTGCGTGTTCAGTGAGCGAGCTAGCTCGAGGGCACAAGGGGGCATTGCATATATCTATCCTATCAGTCACATTTCGGGAGTCTTGTTTTTGCGAGCAAAAGCTTTGGGGCGGTGGCTTTGGGACTCAGGGATGTTTTACGGCGTCTCGGGAGGATACGGATTCCTCAGTGGACGGTTTTTGACGTTGGTAATTGTGGAAACGGGGATGTGCCAGCCAGCCAGCCAGCCAGCCAGGATGGATGGATGAAGGCGAGGTGTAGAGTATTGTGCAGTACCAGTACCACCTTTGTAGAATATATTAGTGCAAAAGGGGTGTTTTGAGCCGAAGCCTGATGGTATGGATGGACGCTGTGGCAGCATAGCATACCCAGCATGGTTACGTTACGGTTGTGTCCTCGGAGGGAGGTTGCCTTGCCAAGGTTGATCCTCGAAGGAGCAATAAAGTGGCTTCCATCCAGAAAGAGGTGACATGATATGCATGATGCTTGATTAAGGGGCCGGTTGAAGCATCCATGCCTGGAAGATGCAGGTGATGGCCACGACATTTGGTCGTCACGTGTGCCACCTGACTTTGACCTCCAGACCAAGATCTACCCAATCACGACACCATCAACCTCCATCATGGCCCTGAAACGCCGGCATTGAACGGCCTTCCGGAGCCCGAGAATGGGCATTGCTGTATGCTACCCTAGCCGCTTATCCCTTGCTGCCTCGCCTGTCGAACCATCCATCCCATCACACCAAGAGAGCTGTCCGTATTGGGACAATCCGGAGGAACCCCTTCCACGATCGAATCCGTCCACCACTCACCACGGCCACTCGAGCACCCCGCATGCTCCTTTGGGAAGTCACATCACTGTCACATCTCGGCCACCTCCTCCACGTGCGGTCATTACCTCCGGTCTGGAGTACCGGCCGGCTTGGCGACTGCCATAGGGCGGTTCGACCCGAGCCAGCGTCCAGGGTTCAGGGCCACCTTTCGGCCTGCGGTGGCCGAGTGGCTGAGGGAACGCATCTGCCTTGTCTTTGCCTCGGTAGGACAAGGCTGAAAGGGCCCTCTCTTGCTTCGACGAGCCTTCTCGATGGCGAAGGATCAGGGTTTGACTTAATCTCGAACCATGAAACATCAAGACCTCGCTCGAAATGCTACCGCAAATCCTACCAAAGCTAATTCACAAGTCCCCCGGACCGACCAGCCATTCAACGCTTGAAGC